CAGTAAAATTTTGCACACAGTGACCTTTGAAATTCCCAGCCGCTAGCCATTTGGGCTAGTGGCTGGGCACCATGAGTCTGGAAAGCCATTTATGCTGGTGGTCATTTTGACCCTACAGCATCTCACAAGGCAGGCCTAAGACTAGATGAGACAGTAGTCTCCAGCTCATAGCTCACATGCAGTATACTATGCTTGAGTCCCTTTACTGTGGTCCTAGCATCTGCTTTTATAGATACACATCTCTTGAGGTCAGCAGGAAGCTTAAAGCATGTCATAGCTCTTGGCAGCTTAATTTCTCAGTAGCAGCCCAAGGGAAGGTGAAGACCACTGGAATGGTCCTTAGCATCCAAGAGTCCCCATGTGCTTCTCTTCTGTCACCATATCCCCAGCTAGTGGGGTGATAAGCAGGGTTGATAACGTAGGGGAGCTTTAATTTCTGATGTCTGTGCCATTGTCTGTAACGGGTAAGGAGATGTCCTCCCAAATTACTAGCAACTCTTTTCCTAAAACTCAATGATTGACAAAAATAAAAGAAAAAAAAGTTTGGCATTTCCTAGACTGATTTAGGAAGTAACAGAGCTGACAAGAAATTAATTTTTTAAATATGATTTAAGCCTTATTAGTGTATTTCAATTCAAGCATTAATTTGCTTCTCACTAGCATTTTGGTACCACCCTCTTTGCAAAGAGTAATTAAAAAAATTCATTAGCGGGGATGGTAATCTCTTCTGCCATTTCAGTCAATGTTGTAAGGTAACATAGCCTGGAGCTTTGCACAGCTTGGCACTTGTTATAAAAGAGGGTATTTCTAATAAGATTTACATTTATTAAGACTCTACTGTGGCTGCCCCAATCTTGATCTTCCTGAAGTTAAAGGGGAGAATTCTTACTGACTTGACATAGGATTTGACCCAAACAGCAGGACGTCTTGAAATAAAAAGCAGACCGTTTAGCATCCTTCATTTTACTGGGATAATAAATAACATCAAAATAGCCTTTCTCACAACATTTTGTTCTTACTTGGATATAAAATGCACATTCTCTCTCACTCACTCAAACACTTTGCATCGAAATTTTAAATAATCATAGAATCATAGAATGGTTCAGGTTGGAAGGGACCTTAAAGATCATCGAGTTCCAGCCCCCCTGACACATGCAGGAACACCTCCCACTAGGCCAGTGTAAGTCTTTAAGTTACCTTAAAATAAGCTATCTTCATATAAAGCACATATGATGCAAGACACAAGTGAAGGCACTTGACTTAGGACAAGTATAGGCTTCTCAGCAAATTACTGGTTTCTTTTAGCAGCTGGCCAAGCCACTGCAACTTTGGATCCCTAAAATAAAAGTTTTCCCTGTTAAGCATAACTTTATAGATTGAGCCAAAGTGAGTTACATTTGTGTCTATGTCATGATGGGCATTCTTTGCATTCCTTTCCCTGACCAAATAAAATTATCAGAGAAAGAATTGATTATATGTGGTGTCCTTTATGCCATGGCCCCTTACCTCAATATGAAGAATGAATATGAGGGCTGAATTGCTTTTAATGTACAGCCATCTGAGTTAAACCAGGGTATCCCACCTAGTTAGAAAAGTGTAGCTACTAGCAGACACTGTGAAAAGGAACAGCCACTAAGGTATCCTCTGCCCTAGTACAGCCCTTGATGTGGTCATTAGGTATGTTCTTGCTATCTTCATTGATGTCTTTTCCTTTTATGCAGCTATGGTTTCCATGATACCGACTGACAATTGAATGTCTTAATAACCATTTGGGTTGAAAAGAAATTACTTGGCAATGCTCTTTTGGAGGATTTGCATTTTTTAGCCAATAAACTCTACACAAAGTTGCCCAGCATTCTTAAAATGAAAAGCCTTTGCATGTTGAATTTACTCACTTATTTATTTATAGAAGATAGTAAGTAAAGACAGCAGTAGACACTCCACACCAAGTCAGAGTATTTTTCCTGATGATATAAGTTGATTACAGCTGTGTGAAATGTCTTTCTCTTAGGGTATTGTCTTGTGAGAAGTAGAAGCACCTGGTGTGTCATTTTCACTCCCCTTTATCTCTTTGAGAAAGATCATCAACTAGTTTCAGGGAACCTTGTTGTTGCTATAAAGTTGAAGTGACCAAGCAAAATGACCCAGTTAATCTATATCTTTTCTTATTTTCTTGGCTTCCAGTGTTTCCTCCCTTGTTCATTTTTTCCAAAATAATTTTAAACTTTTTCATCTCAGTTCATGTAGGAACATTTCCATAGTAATTTTGATCATGCCTGTCTGGAGTGATTTTAGTTTAGGTTTGATGGGTTTTTTTGAGTTGCTGGTGCCAGAGATGCATGCAATACACAACATATAGCATATCATACAGTTTTTCATGTGCAATAAAGGAAAAGAGCAATCAGTAGCTTCATTGCAGCTAAACACTGGATTTTATAGAAACACATATGCATAAATAATTGTTTTAAGTATCACAAGTCTTTCTGTATGAAGGCCTATTTTTCACTCTTAGTAAAACAGCCAGACTGGTATCTGCTCATGAGCCAAGTCACACACTTTTTTTTCTATTGTGAACAAGAAAGAGCTTATAAACAAAGATTTAATTCTTTAGCTGAATAAATAGTTTCTTGGCAGCAATTATAAGGGGCGCAAAATGCCTATTATGCTTTGATTATAATTATAATTCTCACTGAATCATCAACTCCTATAGCAAGGACTGGTATTTTTTAATAATAGAGAGCTGAATTTTTTAGCCTTGAACAGTCATCCACCCTGGATTGCAGAAATGTATCAAGTATACAGCTAATGTAAATGAGTGTTTTTCTGCACTGCCACTATTATTGAATTGTTTGGGGAAAGGAAGTATGTCTGTAAATGAGAAAGCTGCTTATAGCAAATACATAATTCAATACATTTCAGTGTTAACTTTGTTTCCAAATTACATAGGGATGACATCTTGGGATGTTTTTTGAAAAAATACCCGTTTTAGAAAATCTGCTGCGCGGTATGAGAACGGATAACTTTGGTTATGCAAGTAACTCATTGATATCCAATTTATTAGTTTAATAAGTTGCATGCAATTCCTCCTATTTCCTAACTAGATGCAAATATCTCTTTGAATCAGGGCTATCTATACTAGAAATTCACTTTTTTCCTGGTTTAAAATGTATGGGTTTCAGTAATTGTCACCAGTGACTGTCTTGAAAGAATGTTCAAGAGAAATAACCATGAGAGGAGCAGTAAGCCAGCAAAGCTGTTCTGACCCAATACTTGGAAACAATATTTTAAGGTATTATCTCAGATCTTTTGGGGCCATATCTCTACCTATTGTGCTCTTTCAGAACCAGTTGCCCAGTCACCCATCTGAATGCAAGCGCTATCAGTCTGGCAGATCCGGCCCATTCCTGTGGGCACAGCAGCTTTCAACGACCCAAACACTTGGGCAAACTCATGAGGAAACGGACAAGACTGATACCTGGCTATCATCATGGCAAATATTAGTGGATGTCCTTTGAAGGCAATGTTTCAAGTTGAGCAAGCTGGCATTTTTCAGCACAGTTCTGTCAACTAGCCCCATAGCTGCTGCATCTGAGATGCTGCAGTGTTGTCATGCCCTTACTGACAGCTTTTAGCAAATGCTGACTTCTGAAACAGCTTGAAAAGTATCCAGGAAAGCTGGAGACCCCAGGAAATGCATTAATTCTTTGTCTCTCTTTTAAAACAACATTGGATTGACATTAAAAACAACACTCTTCCTGGAGACACAGCGTTAGTCTGTGGCCTCAAGCCATGACCATCATTGGCTATAGAGCAGAGAAGGAGCAGCACGTGTAGACCAGGAAGCTGTGTTATTAAAGGAATCTGATCAGCTGAGCCAATATGTCTCTTGGAGATTCAGAGCAGAACAGGGAAGAATGCTGCGTGCCAAATCACTCATTACTTCTCACCTACCCCATCTCACCAGACCTCTTTTAGGCAACAACAGCAACAGCAGTGTTACTTCCCTCGCGTTTTTATACTTGGACGCTGCACAAAGGAATGAAAGTCCCTGCCCCAGTGCTTCTGGGAGCTAACAGAGGTTTTGCAACAAGTCCCAGGAGATGGAAGGACTCTTTGCATCTCCCCTCTCTCCATCCCCCCTCTCATGCATACATACATATGTATGCACAATCAGGTCTTTATTTAATGGGACTTGAATTTCCAGCACATTAGAACAGTGTGTGGTTTGTACAGAAAGTGATAATACGGATTTAATTAGTTTGATCTTGCTTTCTGTGCTAAAACTGAGTATGTTTAAATGATTATTGTGGCATTTCTTCTTTATTTGCTTTGTATGTATCATAAATAATAATACAATAAGTTTTCAAATGTCTTTTCTGGTGGCTATTAGGCTATGAAGCAAAATGGGAGTGCTCAGTGGAAGACTAACAATAACTTTATTGTTATAGTACATTTAATGCCAAACAAATCTGAAATCTAGATGACTTTACAAATTTTAATCCTTTCACCCATCCTGAAAATGCCGACACTTTTTGTATATGGCAGTTATTTAACAGTTTATAAAAGCGCAAGACAACTATTCGGGGCAGAGATCCATTTAACCTTAACTAGGCAGCCAAAAATTAAATGTGTAGTCTCGTCTAGTTGTGCCAACTCCTCTTAGTCTTAATCTAACTCACCATCCAGCTCTGTGATCAGCCGGGCTCATCCAAAGGAAAGGGCAGGAACACACAATCAGGATCAGAGAAATGTGGGATGGCTCTTTTTCAGGATAATATAGTTTTGAATTAGGTTAAGCCAACCCTAAAAATCTCACCGGGTTGTTACATCTAGAGAAGCCCCTTGTTCCATTTTCAGAAGTGCTTTTTATTTTTCCCCGTACATGTTCCTTTTACTTAACTCTGCAAACTTAGGCAGGTCACCTGAGGAGCATGACATTTATAAAAACTACATTTAATTCCCTATTTCTTTGCAGACAGGAAGATACAAAGATGTATTACCTGTGTTGAGTTGCTCAACGTAACAGAGAGGATGTTGGCCAGCTGAGAAGATTTCAGTATACCCAGTAGAATCAAACAAAAAGCTGACAAACTGACAAAAAGTAAAAGAAAAGATGAGATATTCTGAGAAGTCTTGAAATTAGCAGAGCTGAAACTAAATTAATCCCTTTGAACTGAAGAGCTTTCTGCCCTCAAAATTTACTCCAGCATATCTCTGGTTCCACATTGTGACAATGGGGAATCTCAGTGACCTGTGTTGCACCTAAAAGATAAGCAATTCTGAAAAAGTATGTGTGGACTAGTTAATACTCAGCAGCATGTTTTGTTTTCTTTGCATGGACAAAGGAAATCCAGGGCTACTGCAGGGTCACAGGGAAGGACTAAGGTTCAATTTGTCATTCTTAGGGAAGACATTGTACTGTCATAATAGACTGATTATTGCAAAATAAAGAACCTGATTAAAAATTCCCTAAAATTTCGGCACAAACTTTGACACAAACTAAAAATCCTGCAACTTACAACAAAAACTATTCAAAGATACCTGAGGAGAAATTACAGAAAGTGCAAGTTTAATAAAAAACCACAAAGGTAAGCTAGCAATTTACTGTGATTTAAAATAGCACGGGAGTTAGACATTTTTTAGAAAACAGATACCAAATCTGAAATAATTCTGTAGGAATGAGCTCAATGAAAGGTAAATAAAAGTGGGACTAAGGAATAATAAAGAAGAACTAGAACTGAAGAACTGAAAGACATAAATATATATACAATTTATTTAGTTATGTCCAACAGAAGGTGTACGTCAGTGTTTACCTAAAAGCACTGCGTAGAGAAATTAAGGGAAAAAAACACTCTTGTTTTCTTTGTCTTCATGAAAATTTTTGGAGGCATGTATCAGACATATTTCATTCAGTTATTTGAGGAGACAGATTACTGGAGACCAGGCTAAATCTAAATTAAAAAAAAAAAGAATATTTTTGCAGGTCTTTTGAGGATCTGAAACCAGATAATTTGAGTCTTAGTAAGTCAGAGCAATAAGCATTAACATAGTACTTCACCAGAAATTCACCACCTCCTAGTTAATTAAACTGGGTTGACAAAGCTGGTATTCAGTTCACAGGACCCTCCATCAGGTGTTGATGTTCCTTCATCACCTCCATCAGGTGCTGAGTTCAGGATGTGACCTGGCATCCATGAGCAGGTGTGCCTGGAACTATCATGGGGAACAGTTTGCAGGGTGCTTTGGTGAGTAACTCTGCCCACAGGGCAACTCTTCTTCTGGAGTCAATAGTTTGTGGAAGTGAAGTGGTGAAAACTGGCTTTTGTAGCTGCTGTCAAAGGAGGGCTTTCTTTCAGCATCCCAGTGCCATCACCCAAGCCTTATTTTTTTGCATTTTTAGAGACTATTCTTTTGTATTCATGGCAGGGAAGCCCCTCTGGACAGCTGTCCAGCCCAGGGCTTGTTCTACAGGGTGGGACAAATAAGATAGGAAACTGTATATTTGGAACAATGTGCATAAATATGTACAGGACTTTGATCTGCCCCCCATAGTCCTACACAAGATAAGTTTCCCAAGGCGCAAAATTGTTGTGTCCTGTGACAGGGGGAAAAAAGCATTCATGTACTGGGATTGTAAGATTTGTTTTATGAGGATTTCTTAATCTTTTTTGTCTTTTTGCATCAGGATTATTAAACCCCTAAAAGACATTTTCAAGACATTATATGTAGATTAATCCAATGGCAGATTACAAATTTAGGTGCCCAATTAATACTGCCAGAGGCTCAGTCTCTAGAGGGCTGTTTAGTTAGTTCAGAACATGGGATTTTCATGCTGTATATGCATTTGATTAACTTTGTTACTCAATATTCAGGTTAGTGTGGTGTCTAGTGCAGCGTGGGAGAAACAATTCATATTGTATTGCAGTTAAATGCATAGAAATAAATTTATTCTTGTATTTAAAATTTCATTATTGGCTTAAAATCAGGCCTTAGTTTGAAGTTTCTGTTCATTTGCTTGGGCGCTGAATTCAGATGTCACTGATGAAGCTTTCACTAACTTGCCTCTAATGCTGCTGGCAGCTCTCCCTTTGTTTCTTTCCACCTCCTTGCCTGGACAACCATTTCTCCTTTGCTTCATGACTCTACTCTGTACCTTGTTCCTTTTTTCTCTAGTACTTAGCTTTGAAGCTGCCTCCCTGGGGGCGTTCTTCTGATGTTCTTAACAAATAAAGTCTAGCATTCTGTGAAACTCAGATGCCTTTGGGTTTTACCACAGACTCAGATCATGGTCAAAGTTTTTCTTAGATTCATTAACCTTCTTAAAGGGACTTGGTCCTTTCATACAAACCCAAACCACTGCTTACTGTCATTATCAAAGACCACAGGAACCCAATGGCTTCATGACATTTTCATAGAAAACAGTTTAGAGCAATAGTTTCTAAATTTAAGTAATCTCCAAGCCTTGTAGGAAATTCTGGGGATGTGCATACATGCAAATCATACACAGAAAAACTTCCTGGCTACATATAATACTCCTGCATTTGTCTCGTTTTAGCCGTAGGTCTTATATTATCTGTAGTATTGTACAAGTTTTAACTTACCTTCAGCAATTTTCCTTAAAGCTGTCTCTCCTACAGTACAAGTGTTGTCACATGGTTTCATTTTATCTGCTGTGTGCACACGTTTTGCCATTTTGGGTGGTTTTTTCACAATCAGCTCCAGTAAGTACAGTATCACTTATGACTGACTCATTAACCATGCAGTCATTTCTGTTTCAGTTGGTTTTGCTTTTAGTAAAAAAATCTTTTATAAAAATAGTAAAGCTGAGCAAATAATTTCCATCAAACACTTTATCTCCTCCATGGAAATCTATGACCAGATTGCACTTATTTGTCAATTATTAATTATTTAGACTTTTCCAACACTAATTTGGTTCTTACTATATGGATTAATTACAGCTATCCTAAACAGAAATTAATTTCCTTCACTCTATAATTAGTCAGCAAGGTCAGGTCACTTTGTTTCAGATCCCTGGCCCATGTCACGCACAAGCATTCTTTCCTTTGTGCCAATAAAGCGGACAGCCCTTGAATGTTTACATTTTGATTCTTCAAGACTCACCTTCAACTTCCATGGATTTAAGGCCTGGAGGTGGCCGGGCAGTGGGCAGGTTCATGCAGGGGTGGGTCTTCGTTGACAAGTGTCCTGACTTTATAGCTGCCATCTCAGAGGGTAGCACATGATCCTGCCACCAACTCTAAAGTGGGTAGTCATAGCCATCACAACATAACAATGATGTCTCTAACACAGCTGTGCTTTCTGTTAGCACCCCTGTTGTCTGTGGTAGTGAATCTCAACAGGTATTTCTATTGAGCTGTGGCATGGGCTTGGCTGGCTGAAGTTGGCAAAACTGTAAGAGAAATTAATGCACCTGTGTCTGGGATCTGCATCTAGAACTGGTCTCTGCTTCAGGTCCCATCCCAGCACAGCAGACAGGAGGAAATTATATTGTCTACTTGATAATTTATTCTAGGAAAATGTTTCGAGTGCAAACAATCAGCGAGAAATTTGTCTTCCTTATTCAGCAGTTACGTATTCTCTGTTCTCTGCAGAACATGGTAATATTGTGGGGTGATTTCCTCACTGTCAGCTTATAAAAATACCACACTAATTTGTTGTAGTTGGAGTGGCTCTGCCGGGAACCCTTCCAAAGCAGTCAAATACCTACATGGACTGACTTGGCTGCCTGGCTTACTACATGCACTCTAAAAATGGCAGGGTGAGACGTATTAGAACATACCAGCCTAGTCACCATCTCCCTGCTCTTGTACTCTTCATAGTAAAATCAATGCACATTGTGCTCTCAGGCTGGGGCTATTTTTAGGTGTTATTTTTCCACTTGGTCTGCAGCTGTTTTCAGTCACAAGCTTCTTTAACTAAAACAAATACACAGTCCTTGGCAAAGAAGAGGTTGTAAAGAGGACAGAAGTGTGCACATGAATCTTGTGCCTGCCTCACGCCGTTTTACGTAGCGAGGGTCAGAGGGGAGCCAAAGAGCACCCTGGTGTCCTGGGAAGCCAGGGTCAGCATTCACCATCGTGATTAGCCCTACCTTCAGCCCTCTTCCAGAATGACCCATGAAGGGCAGGTTTCTCAGGGCAGAAGAATGTGAGAGGAGGAGAGCTGGAAGGAAACCAGACTCAGCATTATCTGCAACACCTCCCCGAGAGATACACACAGTCACAGTTGTCGCTGAGCTTTTTGCCTTTAGTGTGAACAAACTCCTTCAGCAGAATATGTAATCCCATCAGACCTGCTGGGTTGTCATTTCCTCCTTCCCTCTCCACCTTGGGGAATGGAGAGAATGGAAAGAATGGAAAGAGTTATCACATGGGATGCCTCAGAAACAGTTGGTCTCTGAGCAGGAGCTCTGACTTTTGGAACATTTCCTAAACTCTGCAAAGCACACGGGCTGAGTTTCCCTTCACTTACAGGAAGGGAACTCTGTTTTATTCTTTCTTCCCAGCTGCTCCCACTTGGCCCCAAGGCAGCAGTGGAAGTCCATAAGGCCAGAGCTGCAGTTCCCTGTCTTCAGGGTGGGAATAGCTTGATTGAACTTCCTGTTAATTTAAGAGCAGGAGAGAGCTATGTCTTGTCTGGTAAACAAGATATGTTTGAAATCAAATGGGCATTACAGTAGCCAGCCAACTGCTTTTAGTGCTGTTTGTCAGGCTCAAGTGATGGAGAAAAGTGAAATGGAGTAATCATATTGTCCGAAGCCACTCCCATCCATCCATCACACTGGACATCTTCACTGTCTACTGTGTAAACAGATAGGGTACTGAGAAGACATAAGTCTTGAGATGTTTCTTAAACTTTAGTGCTGCTTACAAGCCACGAGCACCAAGAGGCTGTACTCCCTCTCTCAAGTTTCTCACATCAAATACCAAAGTTGTTCTGGCGAATACAAGGAGATGGGCAGGCAATATCTTCATTTCTCCATCATCCCATTCAATTCATGTGAGGAATCTCACTGAAATAGCAAGAATACTCTGCTGGATAGCATGTGCTATGCATGATAGTAGATGTTGGAGGGGCTGGGAGCTCAGATTATAAAAAGCCAGTTGACCTCCTTAATCCAGCAGAAGACATTGTTCTGCTACAGAATAAGGATCAGGGGGTCTTGCAGATATCACACTATTAAAAAGCTTTACTCTGTGATACAGTCCCTTCACTGTGAGGCTGATGCAAGTAAAACAAGTATAATTTTAGCTTTCCCTGTTTTCACTAAGCAGTGTACTTACTAGTGTCACTACATAAAAGCTAGCTAGCTATGTTGGTAATTAAAAAAAGCTGTACCATGAAAATCATTTATGCTTGTCTTTTGACTCACATTGTTGAAAAATCAGCTTTTGGTAGAGTTTACTGTTTTGTTGTTTAATATGGAAACTTTCTCATACTGTCCATTAGGAGAAGTGCTGCCATACTCCACGTGGACTGCCAAAACCACAGGTATGAAGTGCCTTGTTATGCTATACTATCAAGTTCTTCACTGGGTTTTGTATGAAAAGCAAACAAAGACACTTCTTCATGAAATCAGAAGTGCCCAGATTATATTTCACATGTGTGAGTTTCCTTGTTTTTATTAAAATTAAGTTTGCTCATTTGCCATTTTCAAGCTAGTTTGAAATGAGGATCACCTTGTATCCTAGGAAACACAGTGAGAATTTTATATGTGATCACATTTTTATCCATGTTATGAAAAAGCAGATGGTAATTAGGTGCATTATTCATAGGAAAGCTTGTTGAGCGCAGTGTCTGTATGGTTCCAGCTTCGATTAGAACTTGTTTGGAAGAACTACTTCATACCTTTCAATTGCCCCTCATTAAGTATAATCATTACTCTTCTGTGGCCCCAGCATGCGTTAATTTGTGCAAAACAGCATACACATTATTTAGAAAAAAACCAGCAAATTTCTGGGGTCCCTTTCATTCTACTTGACATCAGTGTGACCTTTCTGTCCATCTGAATTCATTATTATTTATTGTGGCTGTGAGTGTGCCTTGTGAGAGGCCACTTGGCAGCGAGAGAGGTGCAGAGCTGTCCTGGTCCAGGGACAGCGACTGAGCCACTGGAAGAGACCAATTCACCCAGTTAGGCAGTGTAAAGGATGCTGGTGGCACACTTAGAGGCTGGGCCCAGTTTGCATAAGAAGGACAGGTGTCAGGACTCCCGTATCTCCAAGCCTTCCGCCACAGACAGAGTGATGGAGCAGAAAAGGCACAGCCATGCTGTAACAACAACATGACCGCACCAGGATTAATGTCAGCTCAACGTCACCTACATATTTGCCTATTTAGGTGGGTCCTAAGTCATGTCCAGCAGGGTGACTAGAAGTTGCCATTGGACACTTGGTTAACCAGGACTTTTCTTCTCCCCTCCAGGGATCTTTACCTCCTGCTGTAGGAGTCCAAGTCAGGATGGCATTTTAGGACCCAAAGAATCTAGGGCAGTAAAATCCTTCTGCAGAGTCAAAAGCAGTGGCATCCTCCATTTCTGAGTCTGACAAACTGGGCACTCCTGTAAGTACTAGGACAAAAACTGTGTTATCCAAAGTTAGTGAAAAGATAGACAGTAATACCTGTGGCTTGTGCCAAGGGAGGGCCTCGGTTCCTCTTCAAACAACACACTTGCTTCTCGCTTTGCAGCAGGATGCTGCTAGCCCACATCCCAACAAATACATTGCCGGGTAAACAAGACTTGCCGTCCGCCTTCTGTCTTAGAATCTCATACTCCCAAGACACATAGCTGGAAAGCTAGAAGTAGCTGCTTTCCCTTCCACCTTTGATAGTTTCTTGATTTGTTCACAATTAAGCTTTCTGTTTGGATAGGACACATAGGCAGGTGGTGGCAGCTTCCCTTAACATCTGCAGGAAGGACAGTGGCCTTACTTGTAGTGCCAGATCTCTGCAGCATTCAGCACAGTTGAGGTACTGCTGTCTCCAAAAGCTGGCAGGCCTTTGAAGCAAATCAGGTTGACATAATCCCAGGAGATCACACTAAGGATGTCCAGATCTCTGTTGGTAGTTCTGCTAAAAGCTCACTGTAGTTCCCTCCTCCTCTTGTGGCTTTTCAAATGCCACAAAATGTAGCCATGGACTTTTTGTCTCAACACTGAGAGTTCACTGTGATATTAGTGATCCCATATGAATGAGCTGATGTACCACCAGCTAATACAACACACCACATCACGTATCTGGGGATGCAGACACTTCCCCGTCTCTTTCCAAAACATGAATCCAATACTCAGTTCTTGTTTCTCAAAAGTCTTTAGTAAGCTATCCCCCTCAAAAGCAAAAAAATAAATTCAGGTGTTTCCAGCTGTGTAGCTTTGCCCCTCAGAAGGCAGAAAATCCAGTGGGATGATCAATAGAGCTGAGTTATACCAGGGTGACTGGATGGGATACCCACTCAAAGCCTGATTGCCATTGTAAAACACCCACCCTGAAGACCACAGAGCAACCACATGGTTACATATATTCTTACAGAAGTACAAGGTTCATCTGCAGCACAGCATTGCCAGTGAGCCATGCAGTCCTGACTAAGGAACTACCCAAAAATGAATGACTGGGAAGTAGGACCCACCGCACACAAGTGTCCTTGTTTCTTACTGAAAAAAAATTTTGTCAGCCTAGCCCAGTCTTGCACTTGGGCTTCCTCCAGAGACTTCTCTGAAAAAGAAACCCAAGAAGTCCTCACAGATGGCACTCAGACTTGGAGACCTCCATATGGAAAATATTTTTGGAAAGACAAATAACTGTAACTGGGTCAGACAAGGATTTTTTTTTTCGTACTGCCCCTGAAAATAAAGAGGGGTAAGGCTATTGTTTGTCTGCTTATGCTACACAGAGTCTTCTGCACCCTTCCACACATGCAAAAGTGGGCAAATAAGGATACTCAAGTGCATATTAACACTTGTATCATGCAAGAAAGTGTGTGTGCGCATATGTTTAAGAGAGATGCTCTTTAAACTTATCAGTATGGTAGATGTCCGTTTTATTTATTTTGTGGTTAGGATATTAGCAGCTTCTACTACATCATCTACATTTGCTTCTGAAGAAATTAATTTCAGTGTTTTCCTTACTGACAAACTAATGCTTTTAATGTCGTTGTCCTTTGCAGCAGACCAAACACTTCTAGATAGTGTTAACTGTATCCTGCAGAAATAGATTGCTTTGAAGTAA